CCTCAACTCAAAAAAACCCATCGCTGTGTGAATTCATCGTTGTATGAAGCAATCGTTGTGCGAGGCACCACTGTATCCTATTAAATTCTATTACTCTATAAAATGAGGGAACACACCACATAATTCAATCTCATTTTACTTTTATCTTGTTATCTATTTCTGAGAACATACAGGGCTTAAAATTCTTTACAGAATCACAGATTATCTAGTACTTGTACATATTTTCAAAAAATAACATTCCAATCTAAAGCAGACATATGTAGGATATGTAGAGATAAGGCTTAAAATGTAGAATCACCATCACCATCATTTATTTATATAGTGAAATCAATTTATTTATTTTATTTATTTATTTATTTATTTGATTTATACCCCGCTTATCTGGCCCACCGGACCACTCTAGGCGGCTTCCAATATAAAATCAGATAATAAAAACATAGGCAAATACATAATAATCAAACAACACCAGTAAAATAAAGAAGGAAAAGTAAGAGAGAAATCAAGAATTGGCTGGAGGGAAGGCCTGAATAAACAGCCATGTTTTTAGTTGGGTTTTAAAGATGCCCAGCGTGGGGGCCGCGCGAATCTCCGGAGGGAGATTGTTCCAGAGGCAAAGAGCCACTGCTGAGAAGGCCCAGTTTTGTGTCTTCTCCTTCCGGGCCTCTCTCAGCATCAGGCTCCTCAGCCTCACCTCCTGATTTGTGCGGATGATCCGGGTAGACATTGTACATAGTACATGGCTCTGTACAGAAATGCTGAAGAGGTTAAATACCTCAAGGAAAATATGATGTAAAACACAAAATAGTAAATAGGAGGAGAAGGGAGGAATAATAATATAATACAAATGAACATGTAATTCTACCTTCAATAACACTGGGGTGTTGAAAACCTGTGTATAACTCTTGTGCCCCCAGAAACATAAACACAAAGCATAAACGGCTGATTAACACGGATACACACAGACAGACTTGCCCCAACACTTCTCATTCTCCCAGTCTGCCCCAGAATCATCCCCAGCCACCACATGGTGCCACTGCCAGGACAGGTGGGGTAGTCAGGCTGCTAACATTGGACTGGCAGCTGCCACACCATCAATAACAGTAAATTGGGTAAATTCAAGACCGACAGGTTACCCACCTGTAATTATAGTTCTTCGAGTGGACCTCTGTGATTCAGACTCTGGGTAATCCATGCCTGTGTGTAGCCTCATTGGAAGATTCTAGAGCTTCTGCAATAGCAAAAACCACACTAGAATAAGCCCCTCCCCCTTTATAAGTACCTTGGTGTCAAGACTCTCCCTTCAGTTGTGTCAATCGCAGCATTTTAAAGCAGTATGGCATGACAGTAGGGAGGTTGGGATGTGTGAATCACAGAGGTCCACTCAAAGAACTACAATTACAGGTGGGTAACGTGTCATTGTTCTTCATGGCCTCTGTGAATCACACCCTGGGTGACTAGTAAGCTGTCTTACCTGGAGGCAGGATGTCACGCCAAGGTAGAGGCTAGGCCGCATCAGACTTCTGTCAGAGATAGTGCCAGATAAAAGTGGATGGCTGTGCCCATGTGGCACAAGCGCAGACATCTGGAAGAGGTACACCACAGAGGAACGCTGTGAAAACTGTCACTGCCCTGGTAGAGTGAGGGCAGATCACCTTTGGAACTGGTTTCCAAGCAAGTTGGTATGCCAGGTGAATGGTTGAAGTGACCCACCTAGAGATAGACTGAGAAGTCACCTGACAACCTTTGGTAGGGGGTTGGTGACTGATAAAAAGGTGAGGTGAGCGCCTGAAAGGCTGGGTGTGCTGAAGGTAAAAAGTGAGGACGCTTCTAATATGCAATGTATGGAGGATTTTTTCTTGAGCCAAAAATGGTAATGGGAAGAAAGAGGGAAGGACCAGCAGTTGGGAGAGATGAAATTGAGATACGACTTTGGGGAGGAAAGAAATATCAACAGATAACTTTACTTTGTCCGGAAAAAAATGTAAATAAGGATAGTCATATCGTAAAGCTACAAAATCACTGGCTCGTCAAGTGGACGTGATAGCAGTGAGGAAAGCTGTTTTGAAGGTAAGTAGCTGGAGATCAGTTGCAGCTAAAGGCTCGAATGGAGCCTTAGTGAGTTGTTGTAGTACAAGGGTTAATGTCCATTGTGGAGAGGGTAGATGAATATCTGGATATATATGAGTCAGACCCTTGAGAAATTGTTTTAGCATTGGATGTTTGAAAAAAATCTGCTGCTGGAGAGTTGGGTGGTTGATAGGAAACTATCAAGGAGAGGTAAACTCTTGAGGAGAGGGAAAGACCACTAGATTTGAGATGGAGTAAGAAGTGGAGAACAGTGGAGAGTGATGGGTTGATAGGAAGAAATAATGAAGCTTCAGTGAAAGATTTAAATTTCTTCCATTTGTACAGGTAAGTCTTCCTAGTGGAGGGTTTCTTTGCTTGATGGAGAATGTCCATCAGTGAGGCGAAATCCTCCACGCTGCCAGGTGAAGGACAGGTAAGTCTGGGTGGAGTATTTGGGAGTTGTTCTACGTGAGGAGATGTGGTAGATTATGAATGTCTGATGAGAGATTGTGGAGGATTGGGAACCAGGGTTGCCTCAGCCACCAAGGGGCTATAATGATGGAATTGGGTTTGTCTTGTTGCAGGTGGACCACAACCTTGTGGAGGAGTGGGAATGGTGGAAAGAGGTAAGTGAGGGTCTTTGGCCATCAGCCAAGAAATGCGTCTCCTTGGGAGTGTTTTCCAATTCCAGCTCGGGAGCAGTAACGTTTGCACTTTCAATTCACGTGGGAGGCAAAGAGTTGGTTTGCCCCACCACTCGCAAAGACGAAGAAAAATTGATTGGTCTAATTCCCATTTGTGAACTTGAAAATTTGTATGGCTGAGGAGGTCTGCCAGGTTGTTGTCATGGCCGGCTATGTGTAAAGCTGTGAGACAGATATGATGTGTCAGGCACCACTCCCAGAGGTTGACTGCTAAGTATAGGAGACTTGGAGAGTGGGTGCTGCCTTGTTTGAGGATATAGTACATCGTTGTGGTATTGTCGGTTACAATCTGCACCATTTTGCCAACAAGAAGGTTTCTGAAAGCTTTGCATGCTTTTATTACTGCCAGCAGCTCCAATTCATTTAATATGTGGAACAATTTCTCTCTGTGGGACCATTTGGCATGGATTTTGAGGAACTTGCAGTGTGCTCCCCAGTCTGTGAAGCTGGCGTCAGTCGTAACCTGTATTTGTGGACATGGTTGTTGGAACGGTAATCTGATGGACAGATTGGGAGGAAAATGCCACCACTAGAGTTGGGAGGCGAGTTCTGGAGTGACCTTCAAAAGAGTGTGAGGGGAGTCTGTTAACAGGTCGAAAAGGGCAAGAAACCAAGATTGGAGAGATCTCATCTTTAGACGTACATGTCGTACAACTGATGTCATAGAGGCCATGGTGCCTAGTACGCGTTGTATGGTTAAAGCGGTTATCATAACATGAGGGGTGAAATCTTGAAGCAAGGTGATTAAATAGTGTGTTTTGTCTGTAGGGAGAAAAATGTGAGCTTGTACAGAGTCTACGAGTGCG